ATTCAAAAACAAAAAGTAAAGGTGTATCTGATAAATAATCGCTGTAATGGCCCAGTTGGTTCCCGCCAATTATCTGATTGTGTTGTCCTTTTTTTTTGCGGAATAAATTTTGGCTAGTTCATGTTGCTTGGTTTGTATTGTTTATTTAGATGGTTTTATAATTTCTTGAGGTAATTATACCTTAGGTGTGTAAAGTGTAAATATTATTTTTATATGTTTTTGTGTATGGACTAAAGATTAGTTTCATATCTTCTGCTGGTTTTTACTTAGCTGGTTTATTATTTACTTTATATATTTATTTAGTCAGTGTTTAGTGTATAATTCTTATTTTGAAATATTTTTTGTATGGAGTAAAGGTTTGTATAAATACCTGTGCTCGCGCCCACACTGTCATGAATGCAAATAGGTAAACACGCCCGCTCGCCAGGACCACGGCTGATAAAACTCACTGGAAACATTAGTATGCAAAAAGTTTTCGTCTAAAATATTTGCAAGAGCTCAGTGCACAGTTAAGCAGTGGCACTGACTTGCTCCTACAGAAAATTCTACTTGTGGAACTAAACAGTGCTCTCACGTCCACGAGGGTCCATACAGTATATTTATTTTCTATTGACAGGAAGTGTGGAAATGCATCTGACTGACTGACTTTAGGGGTTATTTCAGGATTTAAAGGTGGAGTAATAATGTTTTGGATCCGTGTGTGTTTGTGTGTGCGCGTGCGTTTGTGTGTTTGTGTACGTGTTTGTGTGTATGTGTGTGGGAGGAGGGGATTCTAGAAATCAGTGCCAAGTCATCTCTGAACCATTGAAAGTCCACCTTAAGAATTCCCATAAAAAAATGACAGAAATGGGAAGGAAGTTGCTGTAAAACTTAGGGTCCAGTGAAGACAAAATATTAACGCTCAAATCTTTTAGTATCATTTTCCTGGTCTCGGATTCTCAAAGGTTCTTGCTATTTTTTCTATCCAACTTGGTATGAAGGACAACTTCCAGGTACGATTGTCTACGAGTATTTTCGGCGCCATCTTACTTGTTTTGTATCATAAGCTAGATAATCGTCCGTGTTTTTAATTCGTCCAGTTACCATAGAATCTCTACTCACGAAAAAAGAAAATCTCGTATACTTATGATTAAATCTCCGCCTACGACAAAATCTACCAATTCACGGGGAAAAAACAGGAGGAGAAATGTTTGTGAGTCCATGTTGTAGCGGCTGTGACCTCCCTCCCTCCCTCGGCCAGCTGTTGAATATGATAGTGTGGGTGACTGACGCCCGCCCTGGTTTTTTAATCCAACACGAGCCAGAAATCTTCACTACATTTTAGTTTCAGCCTTTACACTACATGTTGACTTCCTCCTCCTCCCCTCCACCCTCCATCCATCTCCCTTCCCTTCCTCCTTCCTCCTTCTCTCCTCCCCTCCTCCCTCCTCCCTCCTCCTTCCCTCCCCTCCCTCCACCTCCTCCTCCTTCCCTCCCTCCACCTCCTCCTCCCCTTCCCTCCCTCCCCTCCCTCTCCTCCCTCCACCTCCTCCTCCTTCCCCTCCCTCCCTCCCCTCCTCCTCCTTCTCCCTTCCCTCCCCTCCCTCCCTCCCTCTTCCTTCCCTCCTCCTCCTCCTCCTCCTCCCTCCTCCTCCCTGCCTCCCTCCCTCCCTCCTCCCTCCCTCCCTCCCTCCTCCCTCCCCTTCCTCCTTCCCTCGGACGACGGCACCCTGTTGACCTCACGTCCCGGAACACTGACCTTTACAGCTGACCTGCCATAACGATGCTGTATATAACTTTTTTTTTTTTTTAGACGACTCGATACATGGTGTTGTATAATATAACTTGGGGGGTTGATCTGCCTGGGCTGCTGTAACCTGTAGGGCTAACTCGGTATACAATTAGGTCTCTTGTATGTATCTGTAACTTGACTTGTCTCTTGTAACTGTAACGCCCAGCGTATCCCTTTAAGGGAAGCTGTAACTTCGAGTTAACTCGGCAAGCAGCATAATCCTGTGATTGTAACGCCCACTGTTGATCTGTCCGAGTACTGTAACCTATTGACTTCACTGCAGTACGGTACTATAAGCTTGGGGCACTGTATAAAGCTTTAAGAGCCGACTTGCCACACGACGTTGTAACCTGTAAGACTTGACCTTGATGTAGTGTGTAACCGTCGAGACCTTTTACCTGCCTTAACTTCTTCGCTTCCTGGAGATTATAATTTTTATACTAATTTTCGGTTAATATTTTTGTACCTTGACACATAGTTGAGCCTTCATCAGTAATAACTATGATCGTTATAAGTTCAAATTTTTATCTATATAATCTATTTTGACTAAATATACAAGTATCCATAGGAGTTAAACCTTGCCTTTGTTTAATAATATTCATCTGTAAAATATTAAAAAACTTTTTTTGCAGCGCTTTCTCATTCATATAACTTTAACAGTCGTTTGTAACTTTAAACATATTTTGTAATGCATCTATACATCTATAAACATTACAAAATTACCAACAGTCGTCTGTAAACATTCTACTTTTCAACACATTCGTCTATAATCATCATATTTGTAAATTGTTCGTCAATAAACCATTAAACCTCGTCTTTATTAAAACTGTAGGTATCTCCAGATGATTACGAACAAACTACATTCACCACACATTATATTTGACCTACCTGACATTGGAATGACCCTGAAGATGACCCAAGGTGGACGCCATTCCCCGCCGTCCTCCCTCGAGTGCTGTTCGTCAGGGAGCAAGTTGGGTTAGGTTCGGCTCGTGCAAGATTGGCCCGAATTCGATTTTGAGTTGGTGTGTTTCAGAGTAAGATGGCCCGCCCGGGGAGAGGCAGGCAGGCAGGGAGGGAGGCGATTTGGGTTAATGTATATGGATGTGACGCGTATGATCGCCCAGTTTGGTGGAGTTGCCATGTTCGTTCTTGGAGGCTTTTTTTTAACCATATTTCAGCCTTTAGGAGTTGCCATGGGTAGTGAAATGGTGTCTTCTCAGTGGCCTTGGGAACTTCGTCTTCATATCATCTTAACATCGCTTTCCTTCTGTCCTGAGGATCGTTGGTTTGATAACAGGACATTTCCAGTCGACTCAGCTGTAGATGGGTACCTAACATTACAGTTTAGGGAAATCAAGGTGGTCGAGTGCAGTGCCAACCACTTGCGTTCTGAAGGCTTAATACACAGCGAACTTTTTTTTCACTGTCTCAAACGGGCATTTATACCTATGGGACGCACTAACACCCTTCAGTAGCGAGTATGTGTGTGGGAGGTGTTCAGTGAGAGAAGGACGTGTGACTGTAGCACCAGGCGGCACTAGAGCGAGGTGCCAGAGTTTTGTAACGTCTGCTTGTTCTCCGTTACTGACAAAACTACTTGAATTTTGTTAAGTTTAATTATTTAAATCAAGTTAGTCTAATATTAGCAGAATTCGGCAATATATTACTGGTAGTATTTATATCTGCCAGTGAGTGGTGAGTTAGTCAGTCAGTGAGGTAGATAGCGATATACCGAACACAAGATGATGAAGGAAGAGAAAAGTGAGCTGTGCCGAACCAAAAATTTAAAGAACTGGCTTCAATCTGTTCCTTCGCCAGGCGGGGCATGACAGTGAACCGGGGCGGGGTGTATCCGTGGAGTTCACACTGCTGACCTTTGGTACTCGTCATGTAGGCCCCAGCTGTCAGATAGGCCCCAGATCTCATATGGGTCCCAGCTGTCAGATAGGTCCCAGCTGTCAGATATGCCCCAGCTGTCAGTTAGGCCCCAACTTGACTTACTCCAGCCTAACAGTAGAATTTGGGCCCCAGTCATGGTACACTCCGGGTTCAATTCCTCTTACTATTCGTGTGTGTGTGTGTGTGTGTGTGTGTGTGTGTGTGTGTGTGTGTGTGTGTGTGTGTACAGTAATTTTATCTCGTCGTGTGTGTGTGTGTGGACGCGAGCGTGGGGCAGGACAGGACAGAGAGCAAAAGCTTAAGCCAGGATTAGTGTAAGTCCGTAATGGGTCAAGCGAGGCCCGGACCCTCCCTGACACACGGCCCACCTCAGTCAAGCGCCACTTTATTTTTACCTCCATAATTAATGCCTCAGCCTAGCCTAGCCTAGCCTAGCCTAGTCTAATCTAACTTTAACCTAAACTAACTTAACCTAATCCTAATTTAACCTAACTTAACTTAAACTAACTTAACCTATCTTAACTTAACCTATCTTAACTTAACCTAAACTTAACCTAAACTAACTTAACCTAAACTAACTTAGCCTAAACTAACTTAACCTAAACTAACTTAACCTAAACTAACTTCACTTAGCCTCACAACCAAACCAAACCAAACCTAACATACCGTACATTACCCTACCCTACCCTACCCTACCCTACCCTAGCCTACCCAAACCAAACCAAACCAGATCTCACCTTTCCAAAGCACATTACCTTATTAGCCAACTTAAAATTTTTCAAGCCAGTACAGTAATTTATTATTGTTATTATTATTATTACTACTACTACTATTATTATTATTGTTATTATTGTTATTTTTATTATTATTCATTCATACAATTTGTACTTAAGAACCCTGTGTATATAGTAGTTCCTTCACTATTAATGTATAAAAAAATTGTCTCGGTATCAGTCGGGTGTCGCGAGATTATGATTATTTTTTTAAGTAACATTATCTTTATCTGTTACCGACTTATTTTGCTATTAACTTTTATTATCTGTTTCTGACTTTATTTACCTATTTCTTATTTCTTAGTTGTTACGGACTTTTATTATTTTATTTTTATTATTATCCGTGTTACTTATGCTACTGACTTCTAATACCTGTGTTACTTGTCTGTTACTGACCTCTAATATCTGTGTTACTTATGTTACCGACCTCTAATACCTGTTACTTATCTGTTACTGACCTCTAATATGTTACTTATGTTACTGACTTTAATACCTGTGTTACTTCTCTTACTAACTTGTATTACCTGTGTACTAACTCCCAGTTGTTCCTTCTTCAGGTTCGCGTGATGGAACGGAGGCTGGAGTGGAGTGCCGGCGGTGGAGGAGGGAGTGACGTTGCTGGTGGAATCAGAGTGGACGGCGTTGAGGACATTGACGATCTGCAGGTGGAGATGGTGGAGAAGGAAGCTGTCATCACCACTCTCTCGACCCAGGTGGAGGAACAGGTGAGTAGTGCCTTGTGGTAGTGTTAATGGTGATAGACGGGGGTGCTGGTCACGGTGGTAAGTGGGGTGGTGGTAGGGGTAGTGGTGAGGGGTGTTAATGGTGATAAAGGGTGGTGATGGGGGTGGTAAGGGGTAGTGGTGAGGGGTGTTAATGGTGATAAAGGGTGGTGATGGGGGTGGTAAGGGGTAGTGGTGGGGTGGGTAGGGTGGTGGTGGTGAAGGGTGGTGGTGAGAGTTGCTGGTCACGGTGGTAGTGTTGGAGGCAGTGATGGTAAGGAGATAGTACAGATTATAAGTAAACAGATAGAATGGGACGGACGGAATGGAAGAGGACGGACGGATTGAATGAAAGGGAGGGCGGACAGACAGAATGAGAGGGAGGACGGACGGATTGAATGAGAGGGAGGGCGGACAGACAGAATGAGAGGGAGGACGGACGGATTGAATGAGAGGGAGGGCGGACAGACAGAATGAGAGGGAGGACGGACGGATTGAATGAGAGGGAGGGCGGACAGACAGAATGAGAGGGAGGACGGACGGATTGAATGAGAGGGGTAGAATAGGAAGAGAGAACCAAAGATAATGGAGAAAGGAGGGACATGAAAAAGAATTCGTGAGGGGATGAGAGGAGAAATGAAAGGCACAGATAAGTTAGAATAAAGGAGGAAGAAGAGGTGAAATAAGTAATAAATTTTACAAAGAAAAGGGGGATGAAAAAAACTGATAAAGATTATAAAAGGAAGAATAACCAAATACATTATAGATATCCCTCAGTCTCAGTGCCTCGGTGGCGCCCTCTACATTATACATTCAACTGTTACCCCCCGGACAACTCTCGACATATCCGTTCGCTCTTTATCAAAATCCTCATCGCTTGTGTATGGAAATATACCGATGTTGCAAATGTCAACAGTGCGAGTATTAGTAAAGCTATTGGGGCTCGTATGATCTGCTAGTTTGTGTCTGGCCGCGTATGATGTGTGACGGTCGCTGGGGATATGAGGGCGGGGCATGGCATGGCGGGGCGGGTCCGTTTGCTCGCTGGGTTAATCGTCAGTCTAGTTTGCCTGCATCATAATACTTGTATGTTTAAGAGTAAGTGTGTTGTCATTTTGCCTTTTTTCATGAGGTAACTTGTTGCCAATCTTAGCTAGTAAAATAGTTTTTTGTTGATGTTTGCTAGCAAGGTTACCATCAGACATTCGCCACCGTGGAAATCCCTGAATAGCCATTAGTGTGTCTGTAATAATAATAATAATAATAATAATAATAATAATAATAAACGGTTTATTAATAGAGTTGCAGCCGGTGGCTGAAAATTTACAAATTTACATGTGATTTAGACATAATAATATACGTTCAATACATTTACAGGGCTGTGCAGTACATAAATCAGGAGCTGTTTATTATTTTAACAACACAGTAGATGGGATGGTGCTATTCTTATATCTATCAGTGTGTGTGTGTGTGTGTGTGTGTGTGTGTGTGTGTGTGAAAGCCAATTTGAAAACGCGTGTGAGATAACTGTATAGGCTTATATCTTTATTAAATAGTTGTCGATACGGAAGGCCCAGATGTGCTGCCTGTAATCTAGGATTTACATCTTATTTCCTCCCTTAAGCTGGTCATGAGACCACATTTGGATAGAGGTAAAGGCGAATCGATAAATTAACGTAAGTTTCCATGAGAATTAAGGCACAGTATCTCATCAGTAGCCTCCCAATCAGGTGATAAGTGATTAGTGAGAATGGCGCGTTCGAGTGTGTCGGGCATTATTTGGCGGGTTATTGTTAGCAGCGTTTGGCGGGAATTACTTTGTGTATAAGTATTAATATGTGCTTGTGTTTATGTACAAGTTTCTTTTCCTGAATTCTCAGTTTTGAATTACAGTTCCCCGTCAAGTGATGAGTGCTTATCGAGTTTGACGTGTTCGAGATGTGTGTGACTGGCGTTGGTGGGGTCCTCCTTGGCGGGGGTTGGCAGGAAATCACCCACCCAGGCTGACGTGGAGCGGGCCATTATCTCCCGCGGGGGAGGAACCATTTAGGCCAGATATTGCTTTTTAACGCCAGGGTGTCGTGTGTCGAGCTCAGGCGCCATTTAACCTGATATTGTTCATTTGGGAAGTTATATTGGGGGAGTGATAGTTGAAGGGGCACAGGTAGGAAGGAATGTGAGGTGGAAGGGAGTGAAGGATGAGAGTAATAGAATGGATAGGAGGATGGAAGAGAGAATGAGAAAACAAAGAAGAATGAGTTTGAAAGCAAGAAGGATGCGAAGGATGGAAAAGGATGGTTGAAGTACGCTGAGTGGGAGAGGCAGAGGAGAATGGGGGAGAAGGTTAGATGGATGGATGAAAAAAAGGATAGGCGGAAGGGAATGCGAGCTAAAAGAACTACTAAAAGAATGGAAGAGACAAAATTAATAGCAAGAGAGAAGAGATGTAAGCGGGAGGGAAACAACATTCGTGAAAATGATGGAACTAGAAGAACGGAAGTGATGATGGAAGAAGTAGGGTGACGAGAAGAAAGAATAATAATTTTGAAGGCATGAAAAGGCTGAGGGAATGAGAACGATGAGAGAGATGAGGGTGAATGTCGGGAAAGATTGAGGCGGAGGAGAATGAGGAAGGAGAGGAGGCGGGAAGGATAAAATGGATTGGTGTATTGACTGGGAGAAAGCATGAGAGGCGGAATAGGAGGAGGATGGAAGGTAAAGAAGCATGGAAGAGGGTTAAAGAAAATTAAAAAAAAAACAAAGATAGATCGAAACGTATAGAGGCAAGACTTGGCTGCTTCAATCATGGTTTAAATTGAATTAATCGTTGGCGGCCATTGATACGGGACGGACCCCCATAAGCTCTCGATGCTGGCGCCTTGCTCGTACGACAAGAGACGATAGCTATTAATTATCTCTCCTTGGCGATGAATTTTGGAGGAAGTGTCAATACCTACCTCTCCTGAGATACACACCGAGTGACTGGGTTAGTTTAAATGGTCGATGGTGGTCGTATTAAATGGGTTAATCTGTTTTGTTTACATGATATTAGAAGGTCTCTAACTGGCTCTCGTAATCTGCGACGATGGCCAAAGTGGTATCTAAATTACACAGAAGACCTCATCTTAATTAGTTTGTTGCCTTATCACCATTTACGGAGATATATAACGCGCGAACCTCTGAATACTCGAGGCCAGACCAGGGAACCAGCCTCGACCTCTCGCTAAATTTCGTGAGTGTTAACAAAACCGTTATGTTAGGGTAGGGTGATCAGTGCCTGGCTAAGATTGCCATCACTATCGGGATATGGGACCGTTGAACTATCCACTGCCTGATTAGTTAATACATAATAAAGTATCAGTATTTAAAGGTTTATTGTCCTGCCAGCTGAACCTAACTTCTCTTGTCATTCATAGAGTATATTTATCGTTGCAAACACTCTTTCTATTTGTACATAATATTATCAATATATTAATTCATACATCTCTAATATTTATCATTGTTTGTATGTGTCTGTTCATCTCTTAATTTATTTATTCGTATATTTATCTCGATGTGTGTATCATTATAGTCATTTCATTGTATGGAGCTTATACTGTACAAGATAACCGTTAATTGTTTCTATATACTTATGTCAGTCAGTCTGCTTACTGATTCATGTATTTTTCTTGGGTTGTGTTAAGCTTGTATTATATTTATCATTTATCTATATACTATATGTAATTAAATCCGTATATATGTTCACCTTTATGTTCGCCTGTAGATCTACCCGTCTCTTGGTAATTATCACTAAAATCTATTCCTTTTAAACTCAACTTTATTCAACTCCTCAAATGAGAGAGTAAAACAGGTGGTTACTGGATAGATAAGCCCCAGTCCTAATGGGCCCCAGTCCAAGGGAATTCAAGCCTCATTGGCCCCATACAGTACCCGAGAGCTTCACTCATAATGGGCCGCAGTCCTAATGAGCCTCGGTCAGAATTATTTTGCCCTCGTAATGGTTAGGTTAAGTTGGGGGCCTTGTATAACTGGTGCTTTGACGACTGGGGCCCATTAACAGGTCGAGGTTAGGTTAGGGTTGGGTTAGGTTGGGTTGGGTTAGGTTGGGTTGGGTTAGGTTAGATTTGGGGTGTGGCGTAACTGATGTCTATGAGGACGGACACCCATGGATCAGGTGGAGGTTCTTACACATGTCATCTTTCAGAGACAACTTCGGCTGCAGGACGCCAAGAAGGTGGAGGCTAAGGCGGCCAAGATCAAGGAGTGGGTCACCAACAAGCTCAAGGAGGTGAGTAATATTCTCTCTCTCATCCATGATCTAACAAGACGGATGGTTCTCCCCGTCTCCATCTGACACACACCTATCTGGTATTTAGGGAGGTAGACATAGGCATACATTAGGGTAATCAAGAGGAACCATTTTACCGGGTATTGACTTTTCATGTTTGAACAATACCACCGGTTTCCTCGTCTCCTTCTCGGGAGGAGGAAGAAGGAAGTAAGGAAGGAAGAAGGAATTAGGAGGAAGAAGGAAGTAGAAGGAAGGAGGAGGAAGGAAGGAGGAGGAGGAGGAAGAAGGAAGGATGAAGGAGGAGGAGCAAAAAAGCGAGGAGAAAGGAGGAAGGAATATTTTTTTTTAGAATTTGACCTCTTGACCTTGACTGATGTGCTCGGGTCAAGGTTTAAGATTTAGTAAGAGTCCCAGATGGACGCTGTAAACGCTTCTGTGCTTCACCTTGCACAGGATGTAAGGGGGTGCCCAATAAACTAGCCCCCTCGGGGGTAATCTAAAAAAAAAAAGAAGTAAGAGTTAAGTCTTGAGTTTGTAATGTTAAAGCGAGTGAGGTTTATTGGCGCTTGGTTGGCATTGTTGATAGATAAACAGGCTGATCAAATACTCACAGCCGACCCAGGCTGGCAGATAAGCTCTCAGCCGACAGAGATAGACAGACTGGCTGACAGATAAACTCACAGCCGACAGACAAAGACAGGTTGGCAGATAAACTGTCAGCCGAAAAGAGTGACAGACAGGCTAACCAATAAACTCTCAGTCGACAGAGATAGACACTTTGTCAGATAAACTCAGCCGACAGGTTGACAGATAAACTATTACCCGACAGATGGATACAGACAGGCTGGCAAACTATGAACAACTAAATGCCCCAATCCATTTTTTTTCCTTTGCGCGCGCGCTCGTGTGTGTGTGTGTGTGTGTGTGTGTGTGTGTCATAGTCCACACACCCGTCTCTTTGTTTATCAAGCCAACGTTTCCCCCGCCTAACTCTGTCATTAAATATTTTCTCTTGTCTTAATGAATTTCCCTGTAGGACCTCCTCTCCCCGTCAGCAGAACCGTGTATGAGTGTTACCACTTGTGCATGAACGTGTGCACTTGTATGACGCCATGTATACGTGTGTGCTTGACCTAGTGCGTACATGTGTGTGTGTGTGCCTGTCTGGGATCATGTGTGCGTAGAGTTGCCTGGCCCTGTGTATATTCTTAGCCGATAACTAAATATCTCTCTACTGCTGTGATGGTGATTATTTCCATTTGGTTTGCTAGAATGTAAAATAATAATAATAATAATAATAATAATAATAATAATATTAATAATAATATTAATAATAATAATATTAATAATAATAATAATTCAATTTTCAATTTCAATTGTTTATTCCTTGATAGAGGAAGCGGGATCCTAGTGCTGTCACTAGGTACCCCTGTTCAATGACACCAGAAGCATCTGGCAAGTGTGACAAGTATATACAGTATAAATATTATAAAGGGGCTTACTAAAGCCTAAGGAAGGAAGGATATTCCTTTAACACATAATCAATATTATTTACAAAATATCTGGCCAGTATGGGGAGGATCATCGTGTCTCCGTCAGGGGGTTGTGGATATAATAATAATAAATATTTGTATTCCCGGGCGGTGACGTTCATTCATTGGTCCTTACCCCACTCTGACGTCATCTATGTTTCTCCCACTAGAGTCATGGTTAGGTTAGGTTAGGTTTGTGGTGTGAGGGATAGGTTTGGCTAGGTTAAATATATGTAAGGCTACGTTAAAAGCTTCAGTTCGGTTAAAGTTTGTGATTGGTAGGGCTCCAGTTGTAGGAGGGAGACTAGCTGACGTCACAGTGAGCCGGGGACCAATCATAGCACAGTATGCCCACATAGCCGTGTATTCTTTTCAATCGGACACGCCCACTTGATGCCGTCCACCGGTCCAATTACTCGCTGACGTTAACTCACCCCGATGTTTCCTTCTATTGAACACAACTGCTCTGAGAATTATTGAACCCCAGTGATGACTACGTGATAAATGACGTTATTGAACCCCAGTGATGACTACGTGATAAATGACGTTATTGAACCCCGGTGATGAGTACATGATACATGATGTTATTGAACCCCCAGTGATGACTACATGATAAATGACGTTATTGAACCCCGGTGATGACTACATGATAAATGACGTTATTGAACCTCCAGTGATGACTACATGATAAATGATGTTATTGAACCTCCAGTGACGAGTACGTGATAAATGATGTTATTGAACCTCCAGTGATGACTACATGATAAATGATGTTATTGAACCTCCAGTGACGAGTACGTGATAAATGATGTTATTGAACCTCCAGTGATGACTACATGATAAATGATGTTATTGAACCTCCAGTGATGACTACATGATAAATGATGTTATTGAACCTCCAGTGACGAGTTCGTGATAAATGATGTTATTGAACCTCCAGTGATGAGTACGTGATAAATGATGTTATTGAACCTCCAGTGATGACTACATGATAAATGACGTTATTGAACCTCCAGTGATGACTACATGATAAATGATGTTATTGAACCTCCAGTGATGAGTACGTGATAAATGACGTTATTGAACCTCCAGTGATGACTACATGATAAATGACGTTATTGAACCTCCAGTGATGACTACACGATAAATGACATTATTGAACCTCCAGTGACGAGTACGTGATAAATGATGTTATTGAACCTCCAGTGATGACTACATGATAAATGACGTTATTGAACCTCTAGTGATGACTACATGATAAATGATGTTATATTGAACCTCCAGTGATGACTACATGATAAATGATGTTATTGAACCTCCAGTGACGAGTACGTGATAAATGATGTTATTGAACCTCCAGTGACGAGTACGTGATAAATGACGTTATTGAACCTCTAGTGATGACTACATGATAAATGACGTTATTGAACCTCCAGTGATGACTACATGATAAATGACATTATTGAACCTCCAGTGACGAGTACGTAATAAATGATGTTATTGAACCTCCAGTGATGAGTACGTGATAAATGACGTTATTGAACCTCCAGTGATGACTACATGATAAATGACGTTATTGAACCTGCAGTGATGACTACACGATAAATGACATTATTGAACCTCCAGTGACGAGTACGTGATAAATGATGTTATTGAACCTCCAGTGACGAGTACTTGATAAATGATGTTATTGAACCTCCAGTGATGACTACATGATAAATGATGTTATTGAACCTCCAGTGACGAGTACGTGATAAATGATGTTATTGAACCTCCAGTGACGAGTACGTGATAAATGATGTTATTGAACCTCCAGTGACGAGTACGTGATAAATGATGTTATTGAACCTCCAGTGATGAGTACGTGATAAATGACGTTATTGAACCTCCAGTGATGACTACATGATAAATGACGTTATTGAACCTCTAGTGATGACTACATGATAAATGACGTTATTGAACCTCTAGTGATGACTACATGATAAATGATGTTATTGAACCTCCAGTGACGAGTACGTGATAAATGATGTTATTGAACCTCCAGTGACGAGTACGTGATAAATGATGTTATTGAACCTCCAGTGACGAGTACGTGATAAATGATGTTATTGAACCTCCAGTGATGAGTACGTGATAAATGACGTTATTGAACCTCCAGTGATGACTACATGATAAATGACGTTATTGAACCTCTAGTGATGACTACATGATAAATGACGTTATTGAACCTCTAGTGATGACTACATGATAAATGATGTTATTGAACCTCCAGTGACGAGTACGTGATAAATGATGTTATTGAACCTCCAGTGACGAGTACGTGATAAATGATGTTATTGAACCTCCAGTGACGAGTACGTGATAAATTATGTTATTGAACCTCCAGTGATAACTACGTGATAAATAATGTTATTGAACCTCCAGTGACGAGTACGTGATAATTTATGTTATTGAACCTCCAGTGATAACTACGTGATAAATGATGTTATTGATTCCTCCAGTGATGAGTACGTGATAAATTGTTATTTCTTGTCGACACAGTTTGGTTCAGTACATTAATTAAGGACTGACGTGTTAATTTCGTCCTCCCCACATTCTTGTCATCACATTTACCCGTCCTACCTGTAATTACGTTATTTTTAACTTCACGGGGCTCGGCGAGGCTCAATAGCGAAAAGGATTGGTCCGTGTTTGTGAGAGAGGGTGTGTGTGTGTGTACTGTATGTAGTAGTAATAATAATTAACTGTTTATTGAAAAAGTTTAGCAGGCCAAAGGCTGAAAATGTACAATTTATAGAAATGACTTTATTTTACATAAAGTACATTGACATGTGGGGGAGGATCGTTAGACAAAATCTTTTATTGGAGGAAAGAAAAGGAATATAGTGAACATACAAATTAATGTTTCCAGTGGATGGTAGGGGCTGTGTGTGTGTCCTGGGCAGTATGGCGTCATCAGCCAAGTTACCCCTCAGTACGCGGCAGCTTCATACATGTTCATGTGGTTCCCACCTCCCCATATTTTTTTTTTAAAGTACAAAAACGTGTTAAGGTTAAATAGAGATTAGGAATAGCGTTTGATGACCAAAATATATAAATTAAATATATTTCCCATGGGAATTGATAAAATGTTACAAACAAAATATATAAATTGTTTGCAGAACTTTTGCAAAAATGGCAATAAATTTAGCAAAAAATTCAATTTTGACATGAAGAAATCATCTGACGACCAGAAGACGTAAAGAAAAGTTGTTCCTCGTGGATAATGAGAAACTTTTGTAAGATTTATAATATTAATTTGTATTCATATTTTCAGGAATTTTGCAATATTTTGAGTTTACATTTTGGACCTCAGAATACAATGTGTGCGCATTGGATTATTTTAGCATGTAAATCCCTAATTATAATACTTGACAAATTTATGCCATCGATGATTATTTAGTGATTTATGCATTCCTGTTCCTT